GTGTGTGTGTGTGTGTGTGTGTGTGTGTGTGTGTGTATCAACACAAATGCAACACACACATATACATACATACGTACATACACATACATAGACATATACACACATACACATACATATATTCATATCTATAGTTAATATAATATATTAATATATTATAATAGTATTATTGTAAGTATTATAAAATTTTACTTTTTTATGAATACTTTGGTATGCAGTAGCAGGATTGTGATTGCTCTGACAAGGAAGCAAGATTTAAACTGGTCTCACAGTGCATTAAACTTATTGCCCTGTGCAAAAACAATAGGATAACCCTCCCAATAAACGGTGACCCATAAAGTCTGTCTTCCTCACTTAAAGGTATGTTTTCTATTGAACTTCGATAAATATTCTTGAATAAGCGAACGCGACTGAGCTTTCTACTCGTTTTATGCAGAACAAATCCTCACATATTTGCCCCGTTTTATCCAAAGGTGTTTGCGCGTTTGCCTTCGGAATAAAGGATCATTGCCCGTTGCCATTCCAACGATTCCCACCAATGCATGATTAAACCGTAGTATTGCGTAACTTCAGCGCCTACAAACCAAAGTGGCAAAGGTAAAGCGCTGCTCTAAAATTTAAATCCTCAAGTGTGATTTGTCCCCGCCCACAACACCACCTGCCTCTCAAAGAAAAGCGCAGAAGTATTAACATACACCAGGCGCTTTGAAAAACCACATTTCCCAAAATGCCTTGGGCAGACATGCGCACCAAGCTGCTCTAGCGTATATATAAGGGCGCGACGCAGACGCACGCGTTCTTTTGGGAGTCTTCCTCAAAGGTAAGGAGATGGGTTGCTTTTGGGCGATGGAGTTGGGCAATCCGCCGCCATCTGCCACGTTCTTCGTTGTTCGCGAGAATTTTCGCTTGTCTCGCCGATTTCGCATCTCTCCTTTTCTTTTTTCTCCCTAAATTGTCCCGGCTTGCTTGCCTTTAAGATGATGCAGAATGTATTTAGGAGTCTTCCCCCTGCCTCCTTCTTTAACGCCACTCTTCTTCCCAGGATGCGATCTTAAGCGCTTAAAGGTTCAATTTGGTGCTCATGATGATTTAAGACTTTTTTCCCCATCAGAGCGGAAGTGTTGAATTTTGCTGTTAGCCAGAATTTGTCTGATTGCACCAATTGTACTATGGGGGGAGTAAGAACGGGAGTGGCTGGGAATGATAACACTATGCTTTTGTTAGGATGTGGAATAATGTTTTCTATCTTGGGATCTTTTTGTGTTTCAGGCAAAGGAAGAATTCAATGGAAGAATGTATGGCGGAAGCTCTTGCAAAACTTGCTCTCCAAGTTGAAAGATGTGGAGTCACCTAAAATATCATCATCTGTGGCGAACATTTGTTTGAAAGTTAAAATGTGAGTTTCTGACGCCTATTATTTTTAATTGGGTGAAGAAACATGTTACCACCTTATAACTGAAGGTTGAATGATCCACATAGGAGTTTTTAGCTCCCAGCCACTGCCTGTACTAGTCCCTGCAGTTCTCTTGGTAAAGCTGCCTGAGGAGTTTTGGGGAATTGAAGTCCACGCGTCTTAGAAGTTGCCAAGGTTGTGAAACACTAATGTGAAGGAGTGGCTTTAAATGTTCATTCAGTGGGTGGATGGCATAGAGGCATGCCCTGCCAAGCTTATAGATATGCTTTTAAGCAGCACCACAAAGCAAATGTGTGCATTTTCTATTGATGCAGAATGCTGTTCCTGTTTTTATTATCTCCTTTTGTAAATCTCGATTTTAACCAATTAAAGTTTGGTTGCGTTGCATATTCGTTAAAAGCTTATTCTTGTAAGCGGTTTTTCAAAAGTACTTTATAACATTTGTTAATTTTTACATTTTGGGTTGCCGAAATTTCTAAGGAATTCTTTTCAAAAGCTGTCTGGAAAATACAATGCATTGGTGGATAACCATTTTAAAATTTAATTTAAAAATTTAAGCTATCTGTAGATTGTTCCTCCCCTGTCATTTCTTAGACTAGAATGAGCTGGAAGGGGACCTTGGAGGTCTTCTAGTCCAGCCCCCTGCTCAAGCAGGAGAACCTTATATCATTTTAAATAAGAGACTAGAGTCTTCAAAACATCCGGTGGTGGAATGCCCATGATTTCTGAAGGCAAACTATTCCACTGGTTAATTGTCCTTACCATTAGGAATTTTCTCCTTAATTCAGGTTACTTTTCTAATTAGTTTTCAACCATTATTTCTTGTCCTGCCCCCTGGTGCTTTGGAGAATAATTTCTTTGTGAAGTCTAGATTAGCAAATAGGGGGAAAACTTTGAAACTTGGAAATTACAGTTATGGTCACAAATACCCTGGTAATGCTCCCTTCTCTAATGTAGAGCTGATGTGTATGATGACTAAAGCTTTTTTCCCCATCAGATCGATACTGTTGATCTTGCTGTATTAGCCAGTCTTTGTCTGATACATCAGCTGGGGTTCCTGCTTATTCTCCAGACAGACCAGCCTATAATGTAACTGATGGGTCTTTTGTGTCATTTTAGGATTCCAATGAATCAATGAAGAAATAGTAGAATTCTTGCACCAGATTGATGAAAAAGAGGAGTTATGTACATCTAAGAAAAATTGAGCTGGTTGTTCCAAGCACATCCAGTAAATGTAGAGGTAAAAATGTTTTTATGTTAAGTTATTACATTTACTTATTAAAAGTAATCTCAGTATCCTGTTCCCTAAATGGAACATTCAGAAGAACTCTGAAATGTTACATTTCTCTCCTGGGCAATGCTGTTCTGACCGGTGGTTTTCAAGACAATTTAGTTCTAGAGCAACTTTCGAACCAGAATGGTTGTGTTGACCTGGTCCTAGAGGAAATAGCATTTTGGAGTTCTTTGGAATCAAATGCTTTGCATCTCCCTATATAATGACTTCATTGGAGACTGTGCCATAGAATATCCTGGAGCAAATTCTCCCTCTCCCAAGACCTCATGGGAGTACACAACTTTACAGATAAAGACTGCAAAATGAAGAAGTAGCAGTATATGAATTGTCTGGTCAACCTTGTTTTAATGATTTTGGGAAGCTACATGACTTTTTTTGCAGTTAAAGAATGAGAGGTATTAAAAGCCTCAAGTTGAAGTCAAAATTCTTAAAAACACTCAATGGATCAATGCCCTTTGAGAAAATGTGGGTGGAAGGAACTTGGAAATTCTAGTTGAGATTGATGAAATTTGTTCATAAAGCTGGCTCAGGTGCGTATGTTGGTCGCAAATTGACTGAAAAGGCAGTTCCTAGGAAATAATTATTTCTTTAGTTCTCTCTGCTGAGAACTGTATCAGTGAATGGAGAAGGGTACAAGCCATAGTTTGGTTGTGGCTTGTTTGAACTGCCCATTGTTTTGGCAATATGATGTATTCCAGATGCTTGGGCTTTTACTCATTAGCTCCAGTTAGTATGGGCAGTATTTGGGAAATTTTCCACTCCTGATTTAAGCTGCTTAGAATCTGTGTAAGCTTGCATCTGGTGGGAACCATTGGGCAGTCTTGAAAATAAAAGTTTTCATTTACTCATAAGAAAAAGAGCAAGAATGAGCCTGGGGCTCATATTGTGCTAAACTTGGTTCAGTGTGGCATGTAAATTTACCCTCAATTATAAAATGAATTATGTTACTTTGACTAAGAGCTTGACTGCAGTGCCAGATTTGTATAGTTTTTTTCTGCCACAGAACGTAAGTCAGACTGTAATTGAAAGAATCAAAAGATAATAGGTATTCTGTGCGATTGTCTCCTATGAAGTGTGCTTGAAAGTCTATACTCTTAAGACAAAGGGTTGCAAAACATGTTGCTCAGTGGTACATGATGACTATATCTTTTTTCCCCATCTTATCGACTATGCTGATCAAGCATGTGTTCTAGCCAAATAGCCTGATTCCACTGATGTTCAAGTCTTAATGTTGCACTTTTTATATGTGAAGCTAGAAGCAAATCTTAATTCATGTGGCTTATTTTTCAGGTGAGCAGCGGTTGGCCTGAAAGCACTGGTGATGAAAGAAGCTGCATCATGTTTTCCTGGAATTGCTGGTCCAGAAAGGTTTGTTTTACTTAGCATACAAATGTGTGCATTCATAATTTTATAGAATTACTTTGGAACAATATATATTATATCTCTAAAGTATGTATGTATGATGGGCTGCCATATCTCATTTGATGCAAATAATGGTGCTTTTTTTCTTACTGGTCCATAATAAATCAACTAGTGCTGCACATAACCTGGGTTGACATATTTTGCTAAACCATCTTGTACTATCCTTAGTTTATCTTGATCTGTGAATAAGCCAGTAGAACAAGCCATGACTTAGGTTGTTGGTGGAAAGTGTTTGTATTCATTTCTGCTACCTTAAACTTATTCTGAACATTTTTTCCCTTTTTTTAACAGATTCTCAACCGACGTGATGTTAACAAGAGCTGTTGATTGGAAATTATTTTGATGCTCAATAAATAAATCATTTGCACTATAGCAACATTAAACTGTTGAGTCTTCAATGGAGAACAAACTCAAAAAGTTTTTTTTTTCAGCTGAGGAAGGCTCTTGATTCATACTGGCCCCATATGAGCAAGGGCTGAGGTTGTTTGTTGGGATAGTTAACAAAGGGTGTATCTTGGTAGAATAGTTTGTACTGTAGTATGCCTACGGTAGTATATCAAGTAGCCAAACTGGAACAATTGAGCAAAAGTAGGTTGATATTGGGGATGCGGTGACTCAGTGGCTAAGATGCTGAGCTTGTCGATCAGAAAATTCAGCGGTTTGAATNAGCAATGTGGGCAATAAAGTTTTTGCATATGGTCCAGGTAAAGCACGAAAGCATTGCAAGTTAAGTACTGCTTCAGTTCATTGTTTACGCTGGAATTTTTTCTCCCCATGGAATGTAAGTAAAACGTAGTGTTTGTCCAATAAATGGTAAATACTAAAAAAGAGGAGAAATTGTTTTTTATTTAACATCAATTTTTGTAGAACTTTCTTTTTTAACTGCAGCAAGTTTTGAATGATGTAATATAATGAGTGAAAATTTAAAACTAATACATTCATAACTGGTTGTGAAGTCATTAAACAATTTACTCAAAATTATATATAGATATATATATATCTTTGTAAATACTCAGCATGGCTTATACACACACACTACATACATACTTTCATAAAAATAAATTCTAACTCTTAAAGAGGTAAACAGCAATCTCCTTCTAAAATATGAACCGAGTGGAAACCCAGAGATTGTTGCTTACTTGGGGTCATCTTAGGCTAGGGGTACACAACTTTGGGGATAGGCAAGAAGCAGTATGCCAAACAGTGGCTAAAGCCAGGACAAAAACTAAGTTACATGTTTTTGTTAAAATTAAATATAATTAATAAGGTGACTTCATTCTGCCCACTGAAACTGGAATTGTGCAATATTCCCTGAAGAAAACAACAACGCTTTAGGCCTTTATCTAGACAAGTCCTTCCTGTTCAGACCACCTGCCCCTTCCAAATGAAGTCTGTTGTCTTCAATCAAATTTTAGGTTAAAATTTTGCAACAATTGGCCTAACTGGAAACTATGACTAACTGCAATAACCATGTAATCTGTTGCACCTAAATAGAGTTACAGTAAAATAAGAGAAGCCCTACCATAAACCATACTAACAACAGCACATTCCCCTTGGAGTATTAAATAGTTCATATAGAGATCAGTTGGAGCAATCCAAATTAAGTACGATAAGTTGTTCAGTGCCATCCTTTTATTCACAGAGGTAGTTGAAAGACTAGATACCACATTCGTAATTACTTTGCTTTTCTCAAACCCTTTCCAAGCAAAATGGATGCAATGGTTGAATGAGGTCAGGGGTTCCCAACCAGGGGTGTGAAAACTTGGGTTTAGATGTTTCAAAATTATAGTGTGCATACATGATTTTATATATATAATTATTTACTTTTGTAAGGGGTGCAAGAATATATCAGAAGCGTTGTAGGGGTAGAGAAAAGGTTGGGAACCCTTGAATTAGGTTTAAAAATAGTTTCTATCCTTGGGCTGTCAGACTCTTAAACACAACCACAATCACTCCACGCACACATTGAAACGTATGACTAGTCTTTCTTTTTATTTTTTATTTTTCCTAATTACTTGCATAGGAATTATTCTTTATACTATTTATGTTATTTGTATTTTTTGTCATGGATTGCACCAGTGATTTCGTTGTATACATGATGTACAATGACAATAAAGGCTATACTATTATTAGGTGATCTGAATCCATGCTAAGACTTCCAGTTTTCCTTCCTTCCTTCCTTCCCATCCATAGTTGTCCATGTTCCAAACATCTCTTCACAAAAATAATCCTGTGAAAAGAATGGGCTGATAAAGGCTCAAAAGTCATCCAGTACCTCCATTCATGAGGGTAGACTTGAATTTGGGTGGCCTTTTAGTATCTCAGTTTATTCACTACTAAGCTGGATATTGGATTAATTCTTTGGATCTTTGCTACAGATGAGATCTTGAGCTGCACTTTCATGTAGTTAAGTAAGATACACTGTAATCCAACACATCTGGAAGATGCCCCTATTGCAGGGGTGTTAAACTGGCGGCCCGCAGGCAGATGCATCACACAAAGGCCACGCCCACCCCAACTCTGAAGGGAAAAAACGTGAAACATCACATGACAGCAACATGATGCGGTGAATTTGACACCCATGCCCTATTGGGAGGACAGTACAATGGGATCTCGGGTCCCGAACGGCTCAGACGATGAACGATTCAGGTGCCAACTGAAAAATCTGCTAAATGCTTCACTCACATCATAAACACATCCTTGGGTGCCGAATAAATACAGCCGTGGCGATTTTCCCTGCCGCAGCGATTTTCTCTTCCGCACCATTTTTTGTGTGTGCACGCATGCACAGTTTGTCTTTGCTTCTGGTCATGACAAAATTGGAACAGATTATGGTCGGCCCCCGAGGGAGCAGTGCTCATCTGTTTCAAAGCAAAGAGCCAGCACTGTACATAGCGCTGTGGTCATGTGGCCAGCATGACTAAATGCTGAAGGCGCATGGAACGCTGTTACTTTCCCAACAAAGGTGGTTCCTATTTTTCTACTTGCATTTTTATGCATCTTATCCACTGAGCCACCACGTCCCTTACGTATTATAAGCATTATGTATGTATACGTATACGTGTGTGTATGTGTATGTATATGTATATGTG